TTATGGACACTTCCGTGAAACAAAAATGTTGTAATGTGTCCTTATCCCCTTATTCAGCAGAGCTGGCAACAAGTACCTGCTGGCTTTTCCTCAAAGTCAAAATGATGTCAAAGGAGTTATGGTTTGTATCTAGATGTCCCCCAGAGCCTCCTGCGCTCACAGGTGGGGCTTTGGGAGGTGACTGGATTGTGGGTGTGATGCTCAGTGAATTAACACACTGATGACCCGATTGCTAAACGTGATGTGGGAGGTGGAGCCTGACTGGAGAGGAGGTCCCAGAGGTAGGGCCAGGGAGCCTCCACCTCCCTCCTCCTTGTTCTCTGCTTCCCGCCACCATGCCGAGGACTGTTGCTCCTCTGCAGTGCCTTGGAGCCAGCCAACTATGGAGTGAAACCTCTAAAAAACCGTGAGTCAATGTAAACCTCTCCTCTTTCACTCTGTGGATGTCAGGTATTGTGTCACAGCAACAAGTCAAGTGACTAAGACAAAAGGTAAACATTTAGGGCACGGAGGTACAAACAATAGCACAATGGAAGCGCTCAGGAGAGGAGCCCTCCAGCACCGTGCGGGAAGTGGCAGATGTGACTGCACGGCGCTCCTCATCCTCTCGCCCACTCTCCCTGTTCTCCGTCACACATGAGTCTGCCCTCGTCACCCTTTGTAATTGGAGTTTGGTGGCTTCCGTACACCTGCACCTTGCAGGGCCTGTTGAAGCAGACAGAGCACAGCTGCCTCACACTTTCTCGCATCCACTGCAACGCTGCCCACACCATTTCTGTCCAGTGCCTCCAGTGACGCCAGCACCAGTGAGCTGGTGACTGTGACTCCATCTTCAGTCCCCTGTAGGCGCACATCACGATCTGCCACTAAAAAGCACGTGCATGTTTCTTGCTCATTATTTGTCTTTAGCATGTAATAGATGCTCACGAGCCCAGGCTTCTTGCCTGCTGTGTCCACCCAAGGCCAGGTGCCCACCACAGGCACATGGATACTTGTGAAATAAACAAGCCTCCAGGTGAATGAGTCTCGCTTCTCCGAGTTTCACAGCTGTGAAGGATTTACTGGGGATCTGTGCCCAGCTTTCTGAGGATCATACAAACCGATCATACATGTCAGAGAAATGGCCTCTGGACAGCACAAATGACCCCCAAATTCTCCGACTCCACCAGAGGAAGCTCCAGGGAATTGCTTGGACATACTTAGCCCAGCCCAGGGTGGCGCAGGGGCCACTTTGGTGGGTGTGGGATGGAGGTCAAATCACACCCAAGGTCTCCTCTCCTCCTTTCTACATCTCCCAAGGACAAGAACCTGTGTGAAATCCAGCACAAGGTTCTCATCCAGGAACTCTCCGAGGAAAAGGGGTTAGGGAAGTGCAGTCTGCAGGGTGAAGTGGACACAGGGACCGATGGCCAGTGCCATGGAAAGGAAGCAGCTCGTCTGCATTGTGGTGGCAACGATCAAGCCCACCATCATTAAGAGCCTTGCGTGGACACTTGGGAGTCTGCCTCTTTGCTGCGCCCTGGCTGCCACCTTCCTGGGTCAGGCTGCTTCTCTGCAGCTGCCTCCTTGAGTCACGCGCAGGCAGCTCGGGGCCTCTGGGCTTGGGTTGAGGGTCGCATTCTCTGCCACGTGTGAGGGGACACTGCTGCTGGCTGGATGTACCCTGGCTGTTGTCCTGTGCCCCATGTAGTAGCACTGTAGACCTGGAGGGGACACATGGGTTCAGGGGCGCTGGACGGCAGGAGAAGCTGAAGTTCAGAAAGGCAGACAGGAGCAGACAAGGGCCCCTTTCAACTTGGGGTTTAAAGTGTCAGCTCTTGTTAAAGGCAGGGTCTCCCCACTCCACACAGCACGAGGCGGCCTTCATGGCCATTCACAAGCATCTCAGGCTTTCTGCAAAGGTTTTATACCTGCTAAAATATGGAGTTTCTTGGCTGGAAAACCTGTCAACTTGTTCTCTTGGCATTTGCAGATTTTGAGATATGAAAAAGACATCTGTAGCCAAATATTTCAAGGTCCCAGGTAGTGCAAGAAAGACATGGCAGAGGGTCACAGGGACAGGGCTGTATCTAGGTGGCTCTGTTTCCCTCCATCTCAGGTCCTGCCCTAGAGCCTCACACTGTCATGGTGCTTTTCCTGCTGATAAAGCTGCAGATTTTGACAAGAGGCCCCACGTGGTCTCTTCAGCTCCAGACAGGTGTGGGGACCTGTGACCTGGCGCCCGCCTTAGGGCCAGTGATGCAGTTCTGCAGTTCTGCGCTCCCAGAACTGGAAGACGGCTGTCTTTGACTCTGCTGGCCTACTCTGAGGTATGTGAGGCGCTTAATGAGCTCCAGAGGGCTCATGGGCACAGAAGCCGCGCAGTGCAGGACGAGCCAGGCAGAAGAACCTGCGACTGCCATTCTCACAGGCAGTTGGGTCAGATGACTCTGAAATGCCTTTTCCCCTGCATTTTGCCAAGTGGGAAATAATTTTACCCATTTGTCTCTCAGAGGGCATGTACTTCTGAAGTTCCTCTTTTGGATTTTAGGCAGGCGAGCCTGGCTGCTCCCGTCCTGTCTTGGCTGGTTTGAGTGGCATAGGTCTTTCTAACACCAGCAGCAAAATACACTTTCCATCATTCTCCAGTGCTCTGCAGTTGAGACCATAGCTCAGTTTGCCCCTAGCACTGGAAATCTCTGGCTCTGGCCTCTCAGCTGCCCAGCTGCTGTCTCCTCCTTTCCTCTGCCCACAGCAAGAGAGGAAATTTGTCCTGCATCCTGGTGCTGACTTTCAGCAAAGTTGACTGAGGAGTGATACCTCCCAGGTGGCCGGAAGGCCTGTGATTCACAGAGACATTTGGCTCTAACCCAGAGGACTCAGAGAGGAAGGGAGCTTTCTTCTGCCATAGTCAGTCTCTGGACAGGGTTTGCCCACTGTGGGCAGAGCTTCCTAGCTCTCACGGTGGCGCCTGGGTGAAAGGGCAGAGCCCCTGCATTTCCGTCACTGAGGGGCTCCGTGAAGCAAGATGCCTGTTTTTAATGCGCTGGACCGAGAGTTAGGAAGAGAAAGTAAACATAAATTGTTCAAAACCACAGGAAAAACATTTAGCAAGTGCAGTATTATGGTCTTTTCCACATTTCTTATTCTGGAGAATTATTCTGTTATTTTTAATAGAAACTTCTTTACATGTTAATTTTATTTCAGAGGTAGCACGGGGAAGTGATGTATTGGAAGATTTTACCTTCAATCTAAATGCTTTCACTGAATTTACACCAGTGTCTTAGTTACTCCAGCTGCTGTGAACCCACCCATCAGGAAATTTTAAGGGTATCAGGAGCTCTGTGCCAGGAACTGTGGAAAAAGACCAAATTCATGAAAAATGATACCTCAAGGGTTTTCTGAAGGAGTGGCCTTAACCTGGTACCAAAGAAGCTTCTAGAGGTCTAAGCCCTTGTCTGAGTTTGGTTTATTCATGGGCAAGGAGGGATCTGGCCAGTGGACACAGACAAGGTTGTCAGTGGGTTTCTGAGAATAGATCCCTCCATCTCTCTCTCTCTCTCTTTTTTTTTTTTTTTTTTTTTTTTTTACCGGTACCAGGGATCGAACTCACAACCACCTGTTTGCAAGGCAGGTACTTATGCCGCTGAGCTAAATCCCCAGCCCCAATCCCTCCATCTCTAAGCAGACTACTGTATCTAATGGAGTCCCTGCTGCCCCTTGGATGTTGTTAGATTCACATGTCTAGATTTTCAGGTATGGTACAGGGGAAATGAGAGGCGAGGGGGCCCAGAGAATGGCAAGGTGGGAATGGAAAGAACTAGGTCTTTGACTACACCACTGGGTCCTCACTGTAAGCTGTCCATGTTCCAAGTGAAGGAAGTTGCCTCTGTCCTACTAGCAAGGCTCAAACACTATTTATATCACGGCAGTAGACTCAAGCCTTTCTTTAGTTGCCCTGATGGCTAACTGCACTAGCACCATGGAGATGATCTGCAGCTGGGGACAGCAGAGGCAGCGAGGCCACAGAAACCTTATGATTTCAGATGACAGGCAGGGTGGAGCGTGGAGGGGGACAGTGAGCCAGGGAGACAACACCACAGTGTGGCGTTCGCAGAAGGCCGTAACCAGCTAGGTCAAAGTGGGGGAAGAAGCAGTGGCTGGAAAGCGGTTCTGGAGTTTGGAAGACAGGGCTCATGGAGATTACTCTATAAGAGAGACAACTCAGGATGAGGAACATTTGGTTTTTTGTCTGGTGGGAGGATGATGAATTCAGTTTTAAGCATGTTGATTTCAGGTACCTGAAGCAGATGCATCTAGCTGGCATCTAGAGATGTAGTCTTGGATCTAGAGGGAGTTGGGGGGTGCCTTACAGCTTGATGAACAGGCTCTTCCTCCCTGACAGCTTCATTAGAGTAACAGAAACTGAGGGAGCAGGAGGCCCCCCTGCACGGCTGCACTGGACAGGCAGTGTGCTGGATTTGTGGAGATGGAACGAGCTTGCTCAGGTCACACACTGCTGAGTGGTTGCTTGAGAAAAAGAGACAGAGATCCTGCTTCCCAGCTCTGGGCAATGCATCTGCCCAAAGACAGCTGTTTCTTCTCAGTCACAGATAACTGAATCCACGAAGTTGGAACATTAGGCTTCCTCCACTACTTCTATGATAAACATTCACATTTCAGGGTTTTCTTTCTTTTGTTCCTCATCATTCGAGGTATTTAAAATCACAACTGTTTGCTCAGAAAGATGGGGAACAAGTAGAGTAAACATGGTTGCCTCTTTGAAAAGACAAGGAAGTGTATGAACTGTTGAGAGGAGATTAAATCTTTCTTTTTTGTGGTGATACCAAGAGTACCCTAGTGACACATTTGCAATTTATGTGTGTGCTTGTGAATACAGTCTTAGTCATTTTCCCTGTCACTGCGGCAAAATGCCTGCCATCCACAATTTAAAGAAGGGAGCGGGTGACCCGGAAGGGAAATTAAGCACTTCCGGTTCACAGCCCCGGGGTTGACCCACCTGGTCTGAACCAGCTCTGCCTGCTAACAGCTAGTTGGCTAAAGCATCTCCATAGTTCAGTCTTCTTCCAAAAACCTTATCTATGAGCACAAAACGTGGGAAATTGTGGGGGAGATCAGGAATCAACCACACAGCCTGCAGGTTTCTCGACGCCACACTCTGTTCTTCAGCGGCACCAAACTCCGTGCATCTCTGCTGTCCTCCTGCCTTGGCCTGCAGCTCCTTGAAAGGTCGGTCTGTTTCCCACTGGGGGCTCTGCTTCTCTGCATGTCCAGCTGACACAGCTACCGCAATGCAGCCAAAGCCCAGTGTTCACACATTACTACAACACCTTTTTTTCAGTATTGGGAGTTGAATTAAGGGCCTGTAACTGAGCTACATCTCCAGCTCATTTTTTAAAAACTGTTTAAAAAATATTTGTTTAGTCTTTTTCAACAGGGTTTTGTTATGCAGTTCAGGCTGGCCTTGATTCACTTTGTAGCCCAGGATGGCCTCAGACTCGCAGCGACCCTCCTGCCTCAGCCTCCAGAGTACTGGAAATAATAGGTGTGTGCGAGAAGAGCAGTTGTTTTGGGCTGCATGTAAAATACATGATAGAACCAGTGTACACAAGTAACAACATTTCCTTTACTTAAATGCTTTTTGTTATGACTCAGGCATGTCCAGCCCACACCCGAGGCCGGACGTGGTTGTGAGCGTGTGAGCTTCATGCAGAGGCCTCTCTCCAAGAGGGCAGACACTGCCATCCGTGATGGGGCAAAGCTGAGGAGGAGCTTCGGTGCTCTGAGGTTGGCGTGCTGTGAGCTGTCCCCCTTTGTGGCTTCACATGCCGGGTGTGACTAGCAGCCTAGAGTGACCCTGGCAGGCCCAGCGTGGGCCATCGATGGCGAGCGGCTGGCCTGTGCCCGTTCAGACATTGAAGTGCTTTGAGGTGACGCACTATGGCACCTGGTCCTCCTGTGGGGACTGTGGTGGCACCCGAGTCTGGTGACCTCGGCCCCTGGCTGAGGTGGAGCTGGATCCTAATTGTGGAGGTCAGAGCAGCAGGAGGCTCGGTGCTGGGCACCAGCGCACCAGGCAGAGCCAAACCGATGGGAGGAGGGGTGCCTTCTTCACGGCTGCTTCCCGCATTGAGGAGCCAGGTTTCCTCATTCTCGCCATTGGAAGAATAATGCCACCTACAGTGCAATAGCTGAGCACTGAAAGTTAGAGAAGAAAAGCATCGACTTACCTTGTCACTAAATGAAATCCTTGATGTCATTTTAGTACATCTCTTTGAAATCTTTTATCGTTAACTTTTTTTTTTACTGGTACCAGGGATCTCATGACCCTGCACTTGCAAGGCAGGTGCTTATGCCACTGAGCTAAATCCCCAGCTCCTTCATTAACCTTTTAAAGAATCAGTTATAGAGCTGGGCATGGTGGTGCACACCTGTAATCCCAATACTCTGGAGGCTGAGGCAGGAGGATTGCTGCAAGTTTGAGATCAGCCTGGGCTACAAAGTGAGCCCAAGGCCAGGATGAACTGCACAGCGAGATCCTGTCTCAAAAAGACAAAAAAACAAAAACAAACAAACACCCCCCAAAAGTCAGTTATACTTATGCTCACTTTGCAACCCCGATCACCTTTTTGTTCTTTGTAACACCAACTTTTATGTTTATGTTGTATCCTGTTCATACACATTTTAATGACAGTTTATTTTAGCAAGATAATTTTAAATAGTAACTAGACTCTAATGTGTATCACAGGATTGTTTTTAATAGAAAGAACGTTGGACAAGGAAGTTAACATATATAGAAGGAGGGAGAGCTGCAGAAAACATAAGATTCGTACCATGGACCATATTGGTGTCATTCCCTTGGGATCCATTACTAAAGTGGAGGACAGGGAAACTATTATTTGTAAAGTTAATACCTTCACAGGTCATGGTACATAGATTTAAAATGTTTAAATTGTAGTTTATTTTTGTTGTTCAATAATTTGAAATCAAGGCATGTTAATGCATATAATGTATATAGAATCCCAAAGTAGCAGTGGTGACATTGAATACTTACACACGCAGTTACTTTTCCATATACATTAATAATGCAATAAAATTAAAGTTTCCTCTAAATAACTAATTGCAATTATAAATTGAATTACCTTATACTTCTTAAACACCTTTGTGTACATTAAAAAACAATGATGTTCATAAACATATCAATGCCTGAGAGAATAACCTCCTATATTTAGCTAATACAGATAATACATGATTATAAATGTCATAAATGAAATGTAGTTAAATGTTCAAATTGTGTACAGACAATTAAACTTTCTTATCTTTTACATGAAAAGCACAACTAACTTTAATTCAAAATTATACATCATTTTAAGCAGAATGTGGTGGTACATGCCTGTAATCTCAGCACTTGGGAGGCTGAGGCAGGAGGATCATTGAGAGTTTGAGACCAGCCTGGGTTACAAAGTGAGCTCAAGTCTATCCTGAACAGCATAATGAGACCCTGTCTCACAAACACACACATACAAATATAAATATATATATATATATATATATATATATAATTTTAATGAGAAAAATATTTTCCATATACTTGCAAAACATTTCTAAATTTGGCAAAAATATTAACAAAGAATTTTTGTACTCCATAATCTCTATTTTTGGTTTCTTACGGTTTTAAATTGTGTATCTGACCCAAGAGAGCAGATTATTTTATCGAGTAAGTTAAGTAATGGAGACCCCAATTGAGGCGGTCAGAGTAGGGAAGGCACCCTGACTTCCTGTACAATCGACCTTAGTCATAGGAGAGCCTCCAGAACCCTTTCTGTTGGCAGGCGGCTGCTAACTGGAGAGGGAGCTTTGGTGGGGAATGAATAGCCAGATGCACGCCCATGGGTCTGCCATGGCTCAGACCTTAGTGAAATCCTAATCCCCATTTGGGAGGTGATGAGGTCTTGAGAGTCGAGCCTGAGGACTGGGATTAGGCTGTTATTCAGAACCAGGGCTTTTCCCACCAAGTGGTGAATACCAAGAATTCGAGCCCTAGTGGCATCTACTGTGCTGAGCGCCTCAGTCTTCCTAGTTGGCAGGAAGTTGATTGTCTCAAGGCAATATGAGTGTCATCTGTCTCACTTAACCACAAACCCCATGACACAAGGGGCCGTGGCTGTTTTGTGCATTGTTGTACATTGGCACAGTCATCTATCTGGATGAGACCACACATGAGACCTTGGGACGACCTGAAATGTCTCAGATGTTCTAGATGACCCCCAGGGAGGACCTCTCCAGCCAAGAACTGCTAATCTGCAGTAGAACTAGGGGATGGCCCCCAGCCTCTCACTACAATGCTTCCTGTGGGGCTTGGTGACCTGGTGACAGCCCTGTGAGGTCCCTGGCTTGGAAGGAGGTGTCATCTGGCTCTGGCAGGGCCTCTGTGCTCCTGTGTGAGGTCTTTGGCACAGCAAGCAGGGCCAGGTGGAAACATCTGCCCTGACTGGGTCAGGATGGACCCAGCCAGGCTATGGAGGGTCCCTCAAGGGGCTCCATCAGCCAGGGGGATGTGCAGGGACAGGGCCTCTTGGAGCCAGGCCATGTATGGCTCAGTCAAGTACGTTTAGATGTGAGCCACCCTTCAGTCCCACAGCTCTCCTGCCAAGATTTTCCTCAGGAGTGTTCAGATAAATTTAAAACTATAAATAAAAGCAAAACTAGTCCTACCACTGTTCAGAGACTGGCTAAGTTATAACAGGTAAAGATAATAGAACAAAAGACAGAAATGTCATTTTATTTATTTACTTAAAGTGCTGGTTGACACATTTCTATAAATCTACAGTACTGAGAAAATACTTTGTGAGACCACATATTGAACATGAGCCTATTTAAGGTGTGTGCATATTTATGCCGGTGTGTGTGTAGACTCATGTGGCCAGTGGTCTGGAAAGACATCCCCCACCACGCTGAACATGCTTGTCATTATGTGGTAGATCTCTGCGTGATTTTAGTTTTTCCTTAGACTTTGGACTCGCAGAACCTAACACTGGATCTAATAGACCCATCCTTACTTTTCTACTGTAAGTTTGTGCTTTAGTGTAATAGTAACTGGCTGTGCATCTTGGGACCTTTCCCTGAAGGATACAGGAGGCAATCTGTGTGTTTACCTATCAGAGTCTTGGCTTACCTCCAATCTCCAAATGAGTGGATGGTAAGTAGCTTAAATAAAGGGAGCAGTAGTATGATTTTTGGAACATCCCGGGAGGTCAGAACTCTCTCTCTCAGGAGTAAAGACAAAGAGCTCTACCAGACAGCCGTATTTATTTGGTTTTCAAACAAAGGAAGGGAATACCAGGGCAAGGTGGGAACTGAGCAAGACTTCAGGAAGTTAGTTCAAAGAATTCTACAAGAAATAAATTTTGTCAGTTAAGAGGACTGATTTCTAAAGTTAGCAGCTTTATTGCTCTGGAATAGTGGGGGTCAGCAGCCCATATCCTTGGCTGCGTCAGTTGTGGTGTTATTTTGACACCACACACAACACACTCTTTTTCAACAGAGCCAGAGGTCCTTGTATTCAGCATTTAACCCTGTACAGCAGTCTCCAACATTTACCCACTTGGTATGATGAAAGGCAAGGTGTGTGCATGTGTACAAAAGTGATATAATGGGATGTTTACCTTTGTTATGCTGTCTAACTGGTTTTGTGTATGTTTAATGGAGCATCACAGAGGGTCCAGTAGACCCACACTACTCCAGGATTTCTTAAAAAATTTTTTCTTTCTATTTTTCAGATAGAGTAGCCCAGTTCAGTACAATGGTATGTGAAAAACCAGATTTGCAAGTTTTGGAGAAGGTTAAAAGTGAATCATCAGATTACTCATGCATGGATGATAAAGATGAGCCATTATGGTAAAATACATACTTTCATAGCAGATGAGTGGTGTGGCTAGAAGACAGTGACGACGACGACGATGATGATGACTTTGACATTGGCCATGTGAGGCATAGTTCCTGTGATGATGAAATGGAGCAAGGATTGACCCACACACAGATATTCTGATTCCTATGACAAAGAAAACAGCAATGTGAGTACATATTTGATTCATTTAAATGCTTGACTAGGCAAAATGACCACACAAAAAATGGAATGATCTAATGTTAGAACTAGGTCCAAAAATACAGTGATCTTGGCCGGTGTAAAAGATATTGAATAGGATGTCAACACTGCCATTCAATGTTGGAAATTGTAGCAAATGAAATGTTACAAGATGCCAACATACATAAAGGCTGAAATGCAAGTGAAACATTCTGTGTGCACCAATATTCATATTAAATATGTATTTATTATGACATCTCACCAGCTGAACTGAAAGCATTTGTAGGCCTTCTACATTCATCAGGGATTTCTCATGGTAACTGCAGGAATGCAAAAGCTCTTATGAAAGAGCAATGGGTCACAATATGGCATAAAAATTTATGCCCTTGTAGATGTGAAGACTATGTTTTCAGTTTGGACATGTATCCTGGAGCTCAGCCACCAGGTCCTTATTCACATAGTAATAAACCAAGTGGTTCTGTAGACAGACCTGCTGCTCCCACCTCCCAAACTCATCAGCTGTGACTTTCAACAATTGGTTCCCCAGTTTTCATCTGATGTCACATTTGCTAACAGAGCACAAGTTGACTAGCACAGGAACTGTGTGCAGGGACAAAGCAGGAATTCCAAATGCAGTGCTGCAATTTGAAAACAGAGAACTGTATAGTACTGTTTTTGGATTTCAGGAAGATTTACATTGGCATTATATATGGCAAAGGAAACCACACTGGTACTACTAATGTCAGCATTTCACCATGATGAAGATATTAATAGGGAAACCTTGACAAAATGGAAGCCTGAGACGGACACTTTGTACAACAAAACCAAACGCAGAGGAGAAGTTGTTGATACAGCAAGTGTGATGTCACTTGAAATATGAAGCATTGGTTGTGTTTTACTGGTTCATAAAGATGTGTGGCATAAATAGTTTGATAGTTTACAAAGACAGTGACAGGTGAAAATTACCATGGAGAAATTTTCTTAAAGGATTGGGACTGGAATTCATAAGAGATCATTGACAGCAAAGGAAGAACAAAATGTTTCTAGCTGGGGAACTATGCAAAAAAATTGTGGAGCACGCTGGTGAGCTGACAGGTGAACAGGCAGGCACAGCATCACAAAGACCTACTGTGACAACAGGAAAACAAACAAACAAACAAAAAGATATCAACTGCACCTTACAAGGAAGGACAGCAAAGCAAAACATATGTGTGGGTCATGTAAGCGAGACATAAGCATGGAACTTGTGGTGCCTTGTGTGAAGACTACCTTAGGTGTGATGACTGAAGCAAAGCTTATTTTCATGGCAGAGTTCTATTGGTATTTTCACTGTATTTCATATAGGAATTTATTTCTGAGGTTATCTTTTAGGTTTTGTAAGGAAGTACACAGCTAATGTGAAAATGTTGGTGTCTATTCTAAATGCACAGTGCATAGTAAGAATATAATACTTTATTTTATTGATATTTTATATTCCTATTGATTTTATATACTGTAGTATATTAAGAACTTCTTGACAAAACAGAAGACCACTGAGATATCAAGTATGTCCCACAGAAAGGCCTGAAAAGCAAAACATACGTGCTGTTAGTGTAAGTGATAGTGTGTACAGAGTGTGCTGCTGTCATGTGTGAAGAATGCCTGGACTGTGATAATTGGTTACTTTTTTGTAAAGTGATATTGGTATTTTCATTGTAGTTCACATATAAATTTGTTTGTGTTGCTCTTTTTTAGACTTTGTACACCAAAAACAATCTATGGTAAAAAGTAAATATTAAAAATGCAGTACATTATTTGTGTGATTTTCCTGCTAATTACTCATTTTTTAATATAATAAAACCCATAAAATTAAAATTAAAAATTCATCCATAGAAATATTTTAAAGAATAAACGTGAGCCTGATGGACCCATGTTTCTGTCCCTTTATGACAAAATTAGTGTCACGCTCCACAGGTGACAGACCCCTGCTCCAGTGAATAGCCATTATTTTTAAAACAAGAAAGAAAGCTGTTTGCATGTTAGAAAATCAAACATCATAATTCCTATTCTGTCTTCTGAGTTAGTAGTGATTCTCTTCTGTCTTAGTCACTTTCTTGTCACTGGGACAAGATACTCGCCACCCACGACTTAAAGGAGGACTTACTTTACCTTGTGATTTCACTGTCTGCTGGCTTGGCAGGATGGCAGGACGGCAGGACGGCAGCACGGCAGGGCAGAGGGGTGCGTTGGAGGAAAACTGCTCACCTCATGGTGGCCAGGAAGCAGAGAACTAGAGGAGGAGCTGGGGAGAGAGATAAACCCTTCAGGTTGCACCCCAGCGACCCCACTTCCCACCAGGCTCCACCCCTTGGCAGCACATTTAGCAATGAACTCATCAGGGAATGAATCCATCTACCAGAGAGTGCAGCACCCCATCCAGTTACCTCCCCGAACCCCGCGTGTGAGTGCACAAGGCTTTGAGGGGACATCAGCATCTAAACCATAACATCTTCCATACTGAAAATCAGAGGAAGTACCCTCTTCCTGTTTACTGTGGTCTCATCACGTTGGCACCTGGGCATGGGAGTTGCCTCCTCTTTGCCCATGGAGGTGGTGTACTGGTCTCTGCAGCCCTGCTTCTCACTCCCTGAGCTCTGCCTGGAGAAGCTGCACCCTCAGCCAGGGCCTCTGTGGCTGGTGGCACTGCCTTCTATCGGGGGTGCTCATTCAGATGCCTCACAATGCAGCCAGGGTATCTCCTGAGATGTGGGCCAACCCAGTGACACATTTACCGTGCTGTATGGAGGTGCCTGTCAGATATCCTTGCCCTCACTGTTGAAGACCTGCTCGTTTCCACAGGGCACCAGTGTGAGCAATCACAGGACACTCGGCGGAAGACTGAGTCAGGGAACCATGGGCTTGTCCCCATCCCATGTCCACTTGGGAAGAAGAAAGCCTTGTCCATCTACCCAGCTGTGTGAGGTGCATTGGCAAACAGTAAAGATGGAGGGTGACATTTGGCCACTCAGCCTGGACTTTGCTTAGTCTTCATCACACACACACACACACACACACACACACACACACACACACTCTCACAAACACCTTAGGGCAATGTCTTGGTTTGGAGGAGTGAGGATAGGCTGAATGTGTCTGTCTGTCTGTCCAAGGGCACACAGCTCTGCTGCCCTGCCCCGTCCACATCCGAGGGTCCTGATATGGAAAAGCAAGTTCTGCTGATGACCAAGACGCCTGGGTGGCCAGCGGACTTGGCCTCATGGAAAGCCCCATGGGGGCGGATTACCCTCGGCATTGTCCCCCCAGCTTCACAGGACCCCAGTGTCACTTGGGTTCCAAAGTCATGGTTACGCCCACAGCCTGGATATTTCTTTTTTTCTAACATCTTTTACTTCTGGCTCCCACTGGCTGGGGATTTTAACACTGTCCTTTTAGGTATTCCATTTGGATTTCTTGAAGCAGAGAGAATGCTTTCACTGTAAGTTTTGCATTCTGAGATCAACTCTGAGGACAGTTAGGAATGAGTTCAGTCTGAGACCTAATATTTGAGTGCACACTCGCAGCTATGTATCTAAGACGTCCCTCTAACCCGATTTAAAGATGGGCTTTTGTTTTATTGTCTAAATATCCACACGACCCCTTTGTGCTGGGGTACATTCATCTGTGACTCTTCTGGGAGTTTTAGGCCAAAGCCCCTATGTACAGACGAAGACTCCCGTGGGAGCGTGAGACACAGTGAGACTTGCCATTTTTCTCTCTGTCCTGTGCATTTTGCAGTAGAATTTCTGAATGAAACCTCCCCTGCCCTGTGCAGCTCTCTAAGCACCATACTCAGCATCAGGACAATGGCCCTTGGAGCCAGAGGGGACCCGAAAGATGCTGAAGTGAGCTAGTGGGAGTCAGGGTCCTGTGGGGACTGTGGGTCACCTGGGGAGGGCCTTTGATCGGACCGAGAGCCCCTCAGCCCCTCACCTCTCTCTACCTCCAGTTGTAAGCAGAACCATCCTGCTCCACAGTGGGTTCCCATGGCCTCACTGCCTCGTCACAGGCCGTGGGTACAGTCAGGCAGCCATGGCTTGGAACTGCCATGCCAGAGCAGAGCAGAGGTCTCCCTTTATCTCCGGTACTGTGTTATGGTTACAGCAAGCTAAGGAACACAAAGACCAGTTTGATAGGACAAATAGCTTCTCCCCTGGCCTCACCTTCTGCCATCCTCCCCTTTGGTCATTATGGGATGCCTCCTTATTCTCTTGTCTCTGTCTATGTCTGTGTCTGTGTCTCTCTCTAAGTCTCTGTCTGTCTCTCTGTCCGCCTGATGGAGTCCCGCCCTGGATCGTCACGAATCCGACTCCTCTGTTTGGAGTGCTGTTATTCTCACCATCTTGGTCCTCTTTCTTCTCTGCTTGCTGGTCGCTGCTTCCTGTTAGAACCTGCATGGCCCTTCGTCAGGAAGCTCCGCAGTGCCTGGGAGAGAGGGTGCGGAAAGCTCTCCTCATGGTCGCCCATAGGTGTCATTTTCCTGGAGCCTCCCTGCAGCCTTTCTCAGAGCAGTGATCATGTGGTTATTTATGCAGTTGTGTGTTTGGCTTCTTCCCTAGGCTGTGCACTCAGGGGCCAGGAGTAAGAGAGGGAGGGAGAAGGGAAGGGAGTTGAGGAGGAGAAGGAGAGAAAGAGTAAGAAGGAGGTGGAGGGAGGGGAGCACAAGGGGGCAGAAAGGGACTTGTGTTTTTCTCTGAGGCCAGGGAAGGTGGGTGGCCATTTGTGCCATGAATTAGGAAGGTATTTCTGGTAACAGGACCGTTTCCCAAAGGGCCCCAAACAGAATGCTGTTTGCTCTGACTGCCTTCAGCTCACCTGCTGTGGCCTGGGACATCTGAAATGACCATGTTGTCAAGAGGTGGCCGTAAAAATATGAAACTGAGAGCAGTAATAGCAAGGGTCACTCTGAGTCAACAATGAAAAGGGAAGGACTGACTTTGGAGAGGGACCACGTTCATCTCCGCTTGGAGCGCCTCAGACCCCGTTCAGTGGCACACGCGATGGAGAGGCCTCTGGTAGGCGCTGGTCTGCGCTCAGTGAAGACTCGCAGAATGCTTCACTGGTGAAATGTGCACCAAGTAGAATTTCCAGGGTGGCCGGGTCGGTGTGCGCTCTGTGGCAGTGAACACACTCAGCGCTGCGCAGCCAACCCCAACCCCCACTCAGCGCTGCGCAGCCAACCCCAACCCCCACTCAGCGCGCTCCTCCCCCACCACCGAGGTTCTCGAGGTTCTGTACCCTTCAACCCCCACTGCCCCAGGGCCCAGCTCCCATGGTCACCCTTCACCCGTGGCCTCTGGTTTTGACTACACTGAGTGCCTGTACAAATGGAAGCCGGCAGTGTTTTCCTTGGCTGATTGTTTCAGCTCGCGGGACATCCCCACTCAGGTCACCCTGATGCATGTCAGCGCGTGTCAGAGCTCCCTCCTCCTGTAGCTGGATGATTTTGCATTGAACATATGCACCCGTTTTGCTTGTCCTCTCATCTGTCAGTGGACACTTGGGTTGCACCTGGACTTTAGTTATTGTGAGTGTTGCTGTTATAAATGTTGGTGTGCAAGCATTTCTCCGAGACTCTGTTTTCAATCTTTCTGTGTGTACCCTGACGTGGCATAGCTGGGCCGTAAGGAAGTAGTAATCCTATTTTTAATCTTTTCGGGGATTTTCACAGTGACCACCATTTTACCCTCCCCAGTTACAGTGCCTCCCCAATGCTCAATGCTGCCTGCTGGGTTTTAAAGATCGTGGCCACCTGGTGGGTGTGAAGCGGTGTCTCGGTGCAGTTTTGATTCATGCATTGCCTGTCTACTCCTGTGCCCATTGGTCAGTTTTATATCTTTGTTGCAGAAACATCTATCTGGATTCTTTCTGTGCTTCTGAGTTGGAGCTTAGCTACTGGCTCTGGGGTTTAGTAGTACATTCAGTGCATTATCAAAGTCATCTGAGCTCTATGTAGGGACCTGTTTTTGAGTTCTCTTTTCCGTTACTCCAGTCTATCTGTATGCTAGTATCACACGGCTTGATTACTGCAGTATAGTTTTACAACAAGTTTCAAATCTAGGAAGTATGAATCCTCCAGCTCTGTTTGCTTTTGCAAGATTATTTTAGCTGTTTGTGTTCTTTCAGATTCCATGCAAATTTGAAGAGAAGGTTCTCCATTTCTTCAACAAATGTGCTCAGGATTTTCAGAAGTTTTGCACTGAAATTGTGTTTTTTTTTTTTTTTTTTTTGTACTGGGGATTGAACTCACAACCTCGAGCTTGCCAGGCAGATGCTTATGCCGCTGAGCTAAATCCCCAGGCCCCTTTGCACTGAATTTGTAGGTAGCATTGCTATCTCATCAATATTATCTTCCACCCTACGAACTGGTTGATCCAAAATGGCATCCCATGAATGCTTTTTGTAATTGACAAGAAGAAACAAGGCAAAGATATAATTCAATGCTTAATCCCCAGTATAAAGATGGCCTCTGAGACCACAATCTTCTGGGGTTTATTTTGGGTGGAGGTGTACTGGGGATTGAAGTCATGACCTCGCACTTGCCAGGCAGGAACTTGTGCCTCTGAGTTAAATCCCCTGGCCCACAATCTTCTGTTTTTGCCACAATTTGAGAAGTTTAGAAACTTAACTAAATCAGCCTAGCAGTTCTACACCCTCAGGTGTAGAGGACCTGCCCTAGGGTGGCTCATTCCCTGGATGGTATAAAAGGGAGATGAGGAAGGACAGACTGGCTTCTGTTCTTCGGGGGAGCTCCAGTCCTCACCTGTGGTCGTCATCTCCTGGCTTCTAGCACAGACTCTTCGGCTTCCCCCTTGGACCGTCCAGCCTCCCACTGCAGACCCATTGGTCTCCTGATACAGATGTGCACGGGACACCAGTGAGCTCCAGGCCTTGGACTGGGTCCTTCGGTCTCCAGTGTGAGACCCCCTCTGCACACTCTGTCATCCAGCTCTGCGACTCCCCATCACAAGCCAAGCTTGTAATTTCTTATACATTCATACGTCTTGTGTTGCATCTGTTTCTCTAGTAGAACACTGACTAATGCACTCCAAACACAGGAAACAAACCCAGCATTGAAGGGATGGGGAACTGCGTATTTTGTCTGACGAAGCTGGGGATCTATAAGGAAAAATATTTTCTCTTATATGAAGAGATAGGCTGAAAACTCTTCCATCTCAGAATCCACCCAGGGGACTGGTTATTGAAGCCATTTGGCAAGGGAAGAAGTGAAGAGCTCTTTAATGAAACAGAAAAAATTGAGAATCGAAATGACTAAGGATTGGTTCAAAAAAAGTGTACATTTGTATTAAATTTACTTTAAGACATAATTTATTCATCTCTTCTGAATAATGAGTTCAGTCTTTTCCAGAAAGAGCTAGATAGGTTGGTAAAAACCCAATAACCTATATTCTCTTCCTGCATCTGAAGTCCAGTGTTACCTTGTAGTTCATACCACCAAATCTTTTGCCAAATCTGACAGTGGTTGTTGGGAGAGGTGGTCCTCAGGGCCGGAATTTCCTCGCACAGTGCCATTGGATTATCAGGAATGCAAGCCTTGACTGCTGTTTTCCTGGGCTGCGGCTCAGGGTCATATTTGCAGTGAGTAACCTTTCATCTTTCTCTGTCTCTCTTTCTTCCTTCCTTCTTTGTCTCTGTACCAGGGATTGAACTCAGGACCTCACGCTTGCCAGGCAGGCGCTGTGCGCCTCAGTGGCAGTGAGTTAACTCTACAGCCACGCAGTGAACAATCCTGGAAAATGAGTCTCTGGGACAACAGCAGGTGACTGAGGACATGGAGCCCCTGAACTTAGTGCTAATGAATCCTGTGTGGACAACAAAACACCTGCTGGGATTTCAGCTTGAAAGAAATATGGGAGCTTCTCTTTTTGTCTGGCCCTCTACTCCTAGCATGAAAAATGGGCCCTTTCCTACGCAGACCCTAGGGGTGCCCTGAATGTGTGACCAGTGCCTGCCGAGAGTGTAGCTCTGCTGTGTCAGACAGATCTCTGATTTGTGAAACGGCCCGTCTGATTCCCCTCCCGAGAGGAGAGTGGGTTGTGAAGCTGCTAATTCTTCTAACTCCTCCCTTTTAAACACATGCGTTATCAGAACCACAATCCAAAAACCTTACAAAATGAAAGCTGGGAGATCAAATATGTTTTATTATTTTAGATGGACCTCAAATCGACCTAAGTGGGGCTGTTGGAGCAGGCTGGTCCTAGCACACTATCCATGCCCTGGTAGTGCAGGACCACGTTTTATGTGAGTACTTTGGATGAACCGAGGACACCCCAGAACCCCTGGCAGTGCTGCAGATGGTCAGTTGCACAGAAAAATCCTGTGGGTCTTCACACTTCAGTGTGTGCATTTCCCTTGCTGCTAATGAAGCCAGATCAGGGAAGTTAGGCAGCGAGGTCACAGGTCTTAAACAGGAATTTAAATTACACTAAAAGTAGGGGCCTGAGTGAGTTAGCATAATAAAGTGGGCCATCAAGGCCTCGTGAAATGCGAGAGAATAAGTTGTCCTTAACCCACTAGGGGAACTGAGAGCAAGAGAGATGCAGTTGGAGTACTGCCTGCCCTCCAGACAGCCAAGGCCTGCTGCAGCAGGGCCACCCCTGCCTTCTGTCCTGTATAGCAGTCCCAAATCTGTAAAACCCAGAGGACCTAAATGTTGTACACTAGAGAAAAGAGCTTCGCCATATTTGTACTATACCAAAATACCTGTAACGTGACCCTAACTGTTCTGTATATGTTTTTCTTCTCCATTCTCCCTCTGGGCGACCTAATTGATATGTTAACTATTGCTAAAATAAGGTAACAAAAGGTTGTTAATTACTGCCAGACTCCTCTGTTCTCTGCTGAGGAAAACAAAGGTCTTCCTCATTAACAGATTTCCTGATCCACATTCACGAACTCCTTACTTTGTAAATTGTGATATGTACTTAAAGGTAAAAAATATAGAGAAGCAAGACACACAGCTTTTGCAATCTCCAACTGCACTGTGTGGCTGGGCCCAGGATAAAGTAAATCAGCGCTGCTTTTTAAAATATGTTTTTGCCTCATTTTTTGAACTCGAGTTTGGGGGCTCGTTTGTGGATTATAAGACTAAACGTCCACGGTGTCCTCCTTACTGAACCCCCTCTCCTACTGGCAGAGTCTCTTTTATTAGTTCTGATAAGTGAAAGAGTTCTTTCAATAAGCCCACACGCGGCTCTTTCCCACGCTTGCTTGCCGTTTGCTGTTTGTCAGTTTCCATCTTCATTGCTGCAAAACAAGGACTGGAGAGAGCAGATGGGTGACACTAACATCAAGAAAGGCCGGGGCTGACCGTCAGAGGTCAGCAGGGATCCACTGCAAGCGAACTGAGGCCAACGGACTTTAACTGTGAGTCCACACGCGTACCTCTGCCAGCACCCACCCGGCATCTACTCCGCACCGCACCACGGGTTGCTGCACTTGCAGATCAAAGAGTCCGGAAGTTGGAAAAGGTTCAGATTTTCACAATGAATGTGGTGAGTTCTACCCGTATCTCCTGGGAATGCATGGTGGGGAGCCGAGGCTGAATAAAACTAGGTGCATTCATAGTCTATGGAATGATCCTTAGAAAGTAGAGTCCCGAGAGTTTAGTGATCACTTTCATATAGAAACTGTGAAAAAAGAGTGATTTGAAATAATTTCTGCCTTGCATAGCTAAGACCCATAGGTGTAATCCCAGGGGCCCAGCTGTGTGTGTGTGTGTGTGTGTGTGTGTGTGTGTGTGTGTGGCGGGGGTAATAAGGGACCTAACTTCATTGGTGACTTTTTTTGGAGACCGAATCTTGCTGTGTAGTCCTGAATGATCTCAAAGTTAGGTACAGGGCCTAGGCTGGCCTTGAACTCACAGCTCTGGCCTCGCCTTTCTGTTTGCTGGGATGATAAACATGCACCACCACATGCAGCTCAACTTCAGCATTCAGACCATGAATATTCATTTGCTCCTGTATTATTCGCTAAAAGAAAGCTCTTCTCATTGAATGATCTTGGCTCCTCTGCTGAAAATCTATTGTCCCTGAATGCCAGGGGTTATTTCTGGATTCTCGCTTCTGTTCTGTTGTTCTGTTCATCTATCCTTATGCATGATAGTCTTTATTTATTCATTTAGTATAAGATATTTTTCTGGGATTAAATGGCTTAGTTTTACTTAGTTAACAGCAGCAGATATAACAAAAATGACCCTTATTGTACTGAGTCAGTTTCTTCTGAATCCAGCATATGCTGGTTAACTTTCTCCATTTTTCTCTATTCAAACTGCTAGATAAATTCTCATTTCCACAGCCTGGTGTGACCTCTTATTTGTCCTTTTCTGGGCTGGAGCCTTTATTTATTTATTTATTTTCAGATTCCCTCTGGACTTCTCTAATTAGCTTGTGACAATTAAGGAAACACTACTCCTCCACTCTGAAGTTTTTATCATGACAATTCACAGCTATAATTTACTAACTAATTTAAGAAATGAAACTGTAAATTTATCCCTCAAAAATGTGCTCTTCATACTGGTGAAAGAATTGTACTTTGATGTTGGGCTTGGAGGGAGGCAGTTCACATGAGGACCTGCTAAAGCTGGCACAAGCTGGCCAGTCTGCTGACAGTGACCATGGGGACCCAGGTGACCTGGTGCGAACAGGGTCCTCAACCAAGCACAGACAGGGGCTGGGGGACGCAGAATTACTCGATCAGGGAATGCTCAGACCAATTAAGATAATGCTTAGGACTCCTAAACAGTGTTAGGGTGAGCATCCCCCCACCATGTATTTAGACAACTGTGAACTGTGGGACCCCAGATATTATGGGTCTTAGGTGGAAATCTAGGGGTCATTCAGATCACTCCTTGCTCATGGTTCCTATGTAAAACCCATCACTAAACTCTGGGTTCTGCTTTCTAACTATCCCTGAAGTTTTTTCTGCTTCTGTTCTCTGCATCATCCCCTCTACTGTATATACCTAAATTGTACCAATAACCTTTTAATTAAATTTTAAAAATATCATAACAAAAACCATAAAAGTGTTTTGTTACTTATATATTAACGACATCATTTGACATACGAGTGTATGATGCACTGTGCTTTGTGTGCGGCCCAGGACAATTCCTCTTCATTCAGGGCAGCCCAGGTGCGCCCAAGGGTCAGGCACCACAGTCCAGGGAATAACAGTGAGCAAAGAGTCTGTCCGCATCCAGACCATGAAAGCTTTCAAACTTTTTGACCCCTGTTCACACAAGTGGATGAGGAGTCCAGGGTGTAGAAGGATGATTCTCTCTTTCTCTCTCTCTGCCTGTTTTAAAGGGACTGAAGCAGAACAGAAAAATGAAATAAACTATGATAGGATAGCAGGAAGTCCACAATCATTACTATATTGCATATTGTTATCCTCTAAATAGTCCATCAGACTATTGGCCCCAGGCTTGTACTGCCAGTCAAGCAACACAAGTGCCAGGTGACTTCCCTACTTCAGCCTGTGTCCCCAGCTGCTTATGATAGGGGTGGGGAGGACAAGGTGTGGGGGTGGCTTCCTTGCTGCTTCTGCCTGGCCAGCAGGACTGCCGCCCGGGGGTTCTTACTGTTGCTGGATTCCTGAATCATCTCTCTCCATGGGCTTCAAGTCTCGGTTTGGATCCTTCCTGTGTCCGTGGGACCTGCCTCTCTCCTCCTTCTCTTCCTCACGTTGTTGTATTCCAGGGTCTGGACACCAAAACTTGGACAGGGTCTTTCTCGGCTGCTTACTGAAACAGTTTTGCCCTACAATAAGTACATGATATTATGGCAGCAGGAGGCGAAACCAAGGGATGTTTGCCTTGAGGTCATTTCCTCTTTCCTCTATGACAACTTCCCTTTTCCTTTCCCAGTGGCGTGGAAAAAAGGTCCCAGTCAGCTCCTTGTGCATCATCAATGCTCACCCTGAGCGCCACGCCGGCAGTTATGTCTTGTTCTTTTGTCATGCCAAAAACTCTTCCACTTACCACTCTGCCATTTTCCCGGAAGTCCTTGTTTCTTTCCTTTTGCCTGACTTTGTTTCTATAGTACAGATACACCGACGCCATGAATGAGTTTTGAAGGAAGACCTGGAGCCACAGGAGCCCTTTTGAACATGGTGGTGTGATTGGTACCACATGAGGACTGGCATCCCCTGTGGCTCCAAGAGGGAGCCCACCCTGGGGGCACTGTCCTCTTGTCGGGGGCTGCATCCACAGCAGAGAGTGAATCCACATTGCTTCCTGTGGCCAAAGCAGCAGGAGGCAGATGTGGGGAGGCTGGAGGGACTTGTGGCTGTCACTCACCCCTGGTCCCCTTCCCTCTAGACATGGCCTGCTGACACCCACACTGGGTATTTCACTATCAGTATCAATGGAATCAGGGACACCGGGGATGCAGTATCTGTTGTGAGAGCCGCTCACATTCCGTGGGAACTGGGAGAGCCATGGTTGTGGGGAATAAAGTCACGTCTTACAGGGCTGGGGGCTGAGATGTAGAAGCCGGCAGTACACAGAGCAACGGGTATGTGAGCCAGGGAACCAGGTGTCAGCTAAAGTAAGGAGCATTTGTCCAGAGCCACAGTGTGGGCAGCTCTGGGATGACATTCCTGGGCCAGAAGAGTTTCAGAGAGAGGTAGCCACTCAGTTACTGGCAACGTGGGAGGGGAGAGGCAAAGTTAGGAACCAGCAGGCTCCTTCTCCATGAATACCGTGAGGCGCTCCATGGTGAAGATTTGGCACAACTGCACCTCCAGTTCCATCAAAGCAGCCACGGAGCCGGGAGCTGCATTTTTCCAGGTTATGTAATATTCACTCAGGAGATTTGGGGGATCTCACTTTGAGTTCTGCAGGTTCTGAGGCTTATGCCTACTACACTATAACAGGAACCATGCCCAGGGTGAACAGACAGAGCCTAGGCTGAAGACAGGATATGGGTGGCAATCACCTGGAAGCCAAAAAGTCTCCAGCTGCAGGAAGACTTCTCGAGGCTGCATGTGCACCTGGGTGGGTCACGACTTGGGGAGCAGCCGCCACCAGCTCTCCCTTCCACAGTGCATCTAGGCTTCACACGTGTTTGAACCAGGCTGGGTCTTCCTACTGGAGCGTGTGAAGCCTTTAAGGACACAAAGGGTTTGGCCTTCCCTGGAGCATTTCTGCTGCCAGCATCTCCATGGTGAGGGTGAGGATGCAAGCTGTGGCCACCTCTCCAGCACTTTTGAGTGACCGCAGCCCAGCCCAGGTCTCGGCAGCAGGGTCCAGGGTGGCCAGCAGCTATGGAGGAGCCCAGTGGAGCAAGCTTTTCCAATCCACTGGGGCTGAAATGATAAGCCCAGAAGCCTCCCAGGTGGCCTCTCCCCAGAGCAGGCGGAATCAGGCCCAGCCCTTCTGATGGACACAGGGCCCATCTGGTCATTTGACCAGGGACGACTGTAAATGCTCGCTGTGGGTAAATCACAGGCGTAGGACACTGCCCCATGCAGTGGTGTTCGCCGAGAAGCCCCCAGGGCAGTGGTGAGGAGCACCAGGCCAAGAGTGCATGGGACACAGGTGGATCTGCTGCCACTGCTGCCCAGCACTGGTCCCGGAACGGGCACCGAGTGCGGTGCTGTGTTCAGATTGCTGTGCTTGGAGGTCAACATGGAACCCATCGTGGCTACCTGGACTTTTTCTGACCGCCGCACTGTGCTGGGAATAGTTTTGCTGAGTTCATTACCAGATTTTGGAGGAGGGAACTCACTGCCGAAGAATTGGGGGATGTGTAGAGTGACTGCGCGGGATCTAAAGCACTGTGTTTTTTTGAGGGGAGCCACTCAGCTATGTGCTTGACCCTGAACACCTCTGCTTTCCCTGGGTAGGTTTCTCACCACACACAAAGGAGGAGGGAAACTTTCCCCTTTCTTAAGGCAGAACAGGCCAGATAACACTGACGAAGGAGGAAGCAGTCAATGTGCCTCGGTGTTGTGGGGCAAGGGTGCCATGGAATGTCCGTGGTTACCCC